CGTCTCAGCCCCAAGGCCTTCCTTTTGGGGCGCCATCTTGACGACGGGCGGAAGCCTTCGCGCCGTAGGCCAGAACCAGATTGGGGATTGGCTCAGGGCGGGGTCTGAGCCGAAACCTGCTAAACGATTGGAGGCTGAGGCTCTAATGGGCGGCACTTACCGCTTATCTTTGCCTGCGGTGAGGCTGGGACGAAGGCACCGCCCCGTCTTGACTCCACAGAGCTTGGCGAACCCTGAGCTCGCCCTGCAGGGAAGACGAGGTCTCCAGCAGTTGGAAGATCGGTCAGTTGTGGTGTATTTATGAAAAAAGTGACTCTTCCTTGATCCCCATTTCCTGGCTTCTGAAACTCTGTGCAGAAAGCTTTGCGGTTAGGCTCAACAAAAGAGAAATTCCTGTCGCAGCGCTCACAATTAATTTCTCTCTAGGTCCCTCGCCTTTGTAGAAATACAAGTACGGCAGCTTCTATCTGTAGATCCCTAGAGGAGACCCAGGGAGGCTTATTGTGAAGAGTTCATATTAACGATCTCAGTCGTCTAACCTCAGTCTCTCCTGCTGCAGTTTCGGTCCCTTTCTCCTCCTCCTCCTCCTGCAACCACGCCCTCCATGAATCAGCTTCTTGCACCAGCAGATGAGCCCTTTAAAGGGATTGCATCAGGCTAGTGACTCACTGGGGCCCTGTGAGAGCCGGGCTTCCCTCCCTTGGCAAGCAGAAGCAGCTAGAGAGGCTCAGTGGCAGCAGCACCAGCGGCCATAACCCCACTCCTTTGTCTCAGAGGTGTGAGTCAGGGTGCTTGCTGCTTATGACTGTCTCATTCATGGCTGTCTTTCCAGCTATCTCCTGGTCACTCTGTATCTGTGTGGTGTGTGGGCACACGTGTGTGTCTAAGTCTGGGTGCACTGCTGGTTTTTCCCAGCGTGTGTGGCCAGACACTTGTATGTTCATTTAGCTCTACACAGGCAGTGCCAGGACATGAGAGCAGGTGTGAGTGAGGTCTGGCTGCCTCTGCCTATGTCCTTTTCTTTGTCGCTCTGAATGCCAGGTGCCCACTGAGCTGCTAATAGGGCTGAATAACAAAATAATCAGAACAGCGCCAGCCCACCGTTGTGCTACACTCTGTGTTAAGCACTTTAGAGACATTAGCATTAAGCAGCTGTTTACAGGTGAGGAAGCTAGTGCTCTGAGAAGGAAATTAATCTATCCAAAGGTACACAGCTAATCATAGCAGGGATCACACTTTTGGGGATCATTGTGAGGAATCAGTGAGTTATGGAAACAGCTTCTCACAGGACCCAGTGAGTATGCACATTCATCTCAGCTGTAGAGCTTCAACAAGGTGGATGACCAAAAATAAGGAAGCCAGGCCCCAGCCCACCAAGCTCCTCTCTCTGTCAAAAGGAAAAGCCTAGGGATTCCGGAAGCCCTGACTCTGACAAGAATGAGTTTTGGGTTATTTCAGAGCTCTAATTATCAGCTCGATGAATCACTCAGCGCTGACACCACCATCCCCACTCCCAGGAGACTCTCAGCTGATTTAAAATGTAGGATTTTGACAAAGGAGAGGAGGAGGAAGAGAAAGAGGGCAGAGAAGAGGTAATGGGTCGAGACTAAAAGTGCCAGCCAGAGGAAATGAAAAACTGTAATCAGGACACCAATATGACGAGACCGCTGGGTGACATGTACACACATGTCTCATGGTGACATACTCTCCTGCTGGCTCTCTACCCCTGGGCTTCCTGGCAGGCGGTGCTGCCATAACAAAGTGATGCCTGTCATAACAGCATGAGATGGTTGCTTGATGAGGTACAGGCAGATTTGCCTATCACAGAAGGAGAGAAGAGACCTTCAATCCCAGGGGCTTCCTTGGGCTTCCGAACCCCAGTCCTACTTACTGGCTGGCTCTGGCTTCTCTTTGTGGCCAAACTCCAAGGCCTGGGTGTGGCAAGATTGGGGAGTTAGACTCACACGCTGTAGCTGGGTACTATCACTGAGGTGAGCAGAGGGACCTCTTACTATCATCAGTATGAGGCCAAGAGTGCTGGGAAACAGAACAGTATAGTAGTTAAGATCATGGAGTTCAGAGACTTGAGTTCAAATCCCCATTCTATTGTTCACCTTGGACAGGCCACTTAATATCTTTGCACCTGTTGGCTCATCTATAAAATGGGGCTATTAATACACAGGGTTGTTATAATGATGCAATAAGATTATGTTCATTCCACAAAGCTTGAGTGCCTGCTGTGTGCAGGGCACTGAGCTAGACACTGGAGACCCAGTGATACCAGACATTACCTTTGCCCTCAAGGAGCCCTGAGCACAGGGCATGGCACATATTGAGAGGCAACAAACAGTAGCTATTTTTGATGCATTACGATGCCCATCTTGGCACTCTGCCTCTAACTTAGCCATGAGACCTAGAGAGAACCCTTTTCCCTCTCTGGGCCTCAGATTCCTTAACCATAAAATGATGGTGTTGGACTGGATCAGTAATTCCCAAACTTCCCACCTTCATGGACTTTTTTGGTCTTTTTCTCTATACGAGCCTCATATTAGGTAAATTTTGTCTCCCGTGCAACCTGCATCAAGTTATTTTCTTCCTTTTGATTGATGATAGCCTAATATTATAGCCATTATAGCTTGTGGCCAGGAGGAGCAGGCCAATGTAACCAGCACATTACTGGTGAAAGTCCACCCCAAAGCACATGCTAAGCCAGTTTGGTCACCCTTCACATACTATGTGCTATTTCTCTGAGTCCCTCTGGAACACTGATGAGAACTCAGGGGATCCCTACTGCCCTTAGGGACCCTTCAGCCAAGGATGCCAGATGGGAACTCCCAGAATTGGATACTGTCCTTTAAGTCCCATCCAGCAGGGTCATGCTGAGAGCTGGACATGATGTGCCATTTGTATGCCTCTGGAGAGGTTGGATCTTTGAACTATATGCCCACCCAGCTTTCCTCAGAGTCCTGGTAGTCCCCTCCTTCCAAACAAGAGACCCCTGTTATTCTTCTCTCCAAGAATGGGAGAGGAGGGAGGAGACACTCTGTGCCACCTAAGCACTCAGAATTCCTGAGGGTTCAGTAATCAGCTGGGCACCCACCATGGCTGAAGCTGCGGGAAGGGTGGAGGTACATGCCTGGACAAAGGCCACGGCAAGGGGCAGCATGCAACCCAGACTCCGCTGGGACAATAACATATATGGTGTGTCTCATCTTTTCCGTGGTGTTCCTCAGCCCTTCTCTTACACAGATAGGATATTCTGCATTTGTTACCTCAGGAAACAAATGATACAACAGAATGCAGAGTCCATTTTTAGCTTCTGAATTCCAAAAGCTTAGCTTTCAGGGAGGAATGGAAAGAATTTCTGAGCAGATACAAATTTAGAAAACTGGGGGATCTGGGAGCTTGAGACTGGGGGTGGTGCTGAGAAAAAAGAAACTTTTCAGCCTGGTAACTGGGGGTATCAATTGGGTTTAAGGCAGCAGTCCCCAACCTTTTTGGCATCAGGGACTGGTTTTGTGGAAGATAGTTTTTCCATGGATGGAGGGGAGATGGGATGGTTTCAGGATGATTCAAGTGCCTTACATTTATTGTGCATTTTATTTTTCTATTATTACATCAGTGCCTCATTTCTACCTCAGATCATCAGGCATTAGATTCTCACAAGGAGTCTGCCACCCAGATTCCTCACATGCACAGTTCACAATAGGCTTTTTGCTCCTATGAGAATTTAATGCTGCTGCTGATCTGACAGAAGGCGGAGCTCAGGCAGTAATGCTAGCAATGGGGAGCAGTCATAAATACAGATGAATTCTCCATTGTCAGTCTCTCACCTCCTGCTGTGGCAGCCCGGTTCCTAACAGGCTATGGACTGGTACCAGTCCATGGCCCAGGGGTTGGGGACCCCTGGTCTAAGGGACTGAAAAGCAGAGAAAAGCTCTGCTCCTTTTCCCAGGTGGGGCACCAGGGTGGTAACAAAACCCTCTGGAGAAATGGCTGTGGGCTGCATTTGGTCAAACAGAGCCTAACTCACCTAAGACCCAATAATTTCCTGAGCCTAATGTGGGGAAGGCAGAAGAGAGGGCTATGGGTTACAGCTGGAGGGGTCTTTTGGTCAGGAAGGAGCAACTCAGCAGCAAGCTTCATGGGCTGATGACAAAAGACCACAAGACGAGAACATGTCAGTAGACGCTAGTGTGAAGGGATGACCACCAAATCAGACTACCCTTACCATGCTTTGGCGCCATGAAGGGAGCACCCTAGAATTCAAACATAACTACAAGGAAAATGGGTATTTTTGAATTGACTGCAATTAAGTTTGTTATTTTGGCTGAGTGGAACAAAATAGGAATTTAGGCGAGTTACAGACAATTTCTCACCAGAAAGTGGAAGCAGCTACACGCTTCGCCCACAGGCGTTATTTGCCCTGCTCCCTCCCATTTCTCATCACTCACCTGCTTCTCTCCCCTCCATCAGTTTCAAAATGGTACTATGATGGCCCCAAACCCCCAAGCTTTCCTACCTTGGGAACCTTGCCCTGGCTCTTTCCATGACAGGCTCCTTCTCAGTTTACATTTCACTTCCTCAGATCACTTTTCAAAATATAACTACCTCTATTATTCCCTCTTGAAGGAGCTTATTTATTTCCTTCACAGTCATCTGTGTTTTTACTTTTTTTGGTGTATTATCTGTCTCTTCTGCTAGAATGTCAGTTCCCTAGGGGCAAGACCCTTTTTCATCTTGACATTCCCTTGCTATCACTGTGCTTCGCACATAGTAGAGTGGCTGACCAGTGGCAACTGGGGATTTCCTGGTTTCCCACAGACTGATGGGTACAGAACTCCTTCAACCCTTACTCGGCCCCTGACAGCCTTTTCCAGCAAGTTGGGACCAGATTACAAAAGACCCATGTCCTTGGGGCTTGAAGACTCAGCTGTGCTTTAACCCAGGGGCTTGGCTCCTTCTCCTCATTCTGTCTTCCCAGGCAGGGCCTTGTCTAGGAAGGAGAGGGCCCATAAGGGCGTGGCACACAACGCTTAAGGAACATGTCCTGAGTCTTTCAGCGATGCATGCTAGCCCTACCACTTCCCCTGTCGGCTCTGCTAAGGACATAGAAGCCTCTGGCACTATCAAAGCCTTAGAGCCAGACCTTTCTTCCATCCCTAGGCCAAAACCCCAGCTAAGCCCTCTTCATCTTTGGACATGTGTGCAGACATGTGGGAAAGGTCTGCAAGGGAGGCTGTTGGGAGGGCTCCCCACCGGTTCCTCATCTGTCCTCCCACTTGCCAAAAGCATGGGGACATTTCTGGTATGGACCT